TTCTTTCCTTCCTTCCTTCCATGTGGATGTTCAATTTTTCCAGCACCATTTGTTGAGGACTGTCTCTTCTCCATTGTCAAAGATCAGCTTAGTGTGTTTTTGTATGGTTCTATTTTTAAGCTCTCTGTTCTGTTCCATTGATTGTCTGTTCTTTCACCACTCTGTCTTAATGCCTTTAGCCTTAATAGTAAGACTTGAGGTTGGATAGTGTCAGTCCTCTGAATTTGTTTTCTTCTTCAGAAGTGTTGTGTTGAATAGTCTGTGCCATTTGCCCTTACAGTGGATTTGATTCGCTTTAGAGTCAATTTGTTGATATCTACAAAGTAACTTCCCGGGATTTTGATTGGAGTTATATTGAATCTGTAGATCAAGTTAGGAAGAACTGACATATTGAATCTTTCTATCCATGAACATGGATTATCTCTATTTTTTTTGGATTTTATATTGTTCTCTTTCGTTGAAGTTTTGTGGTTTTCCTTATATAGATCTTGTAAATATTTATTTGTATCTAAATAATTCATTTTGTGTGTGTTCTACAGTAAATGATAGTGGTTAGTAGTTTTCCTTTCTTGCAACATCCTTGTTTGTATTTAAGTAATGCTAGTTCCATAGAATGAGTTAGAAAGTGTACCTTCTGTTCCTGTTTCCAAGAAGAGAGTGTAGAGATTTGAATAATTTCTTATAATTGTATAATTTATTTTTGAAATGTTGGGGCAAGTTCACTCGTGACCATGGAATTGGTAGTGATGGCCACTCTTTCATCTGATATTAGTGGTTTGTTTTTTTCTTGATGATTCTGGTTAGAGGTTTATCAATTTTGTTGATTTTTTTTTTTTTTTAAAAAGAACCAACTTTTGGTTTCATTGATTTTTCTCTGTTGACTTCTTGTTTATAATTTCATTGATTTCTGCTCTAATTTTTATTTCTTCTTTTCTTCTGCATACTTTAGATTTAATTTGCTTTTTTTAGTTTTCTAAAATGTAAAAGTTTAAATTATTGATTTTAACTCTTCTAATATTTGCATTCAGTTTAGTATTCTCCCCATTGAACACTGTTTTTGCTGCAACCCACATATTTTGCCAACTTGTCATTTTATTTTCATTTAGTTAAAAAATGTCTTTTATATTTTCATTGAGATATCTTTGTCTTACCTGTTACTTAGAAATGTATTTAATCTCCAAGTGTTTTGAGTTTTTTTCAGACGTCTTTCTGTTACTGATCTCTAGTTTAATTCTACTTGGTCTAAGAACATACTTTGCATGGTTGCATGATTTCTTTCTTTTTTTTGTTTTTGAGTTGTAGTCTCACCCTGTCACCCAGGGTGGAGTGCAGTGGCAGGCTCCCAGCCACTGCAACCTTGACCTGCTGGACTCTGGCGATCCTTCCTCCTCAACCTTCCAAGTAGACAGAACTATAGGTGTGCACTACCACACCCGGCTAATTTTTGATTTATTGTAGAGATGAGGTCTGGCCAAGTTGCCCGGGTGGGTCTTGAACCTGTGGGCTCAGGCAATCCACTTGCCTTGGCCTCCCAAAGTGTTGGGATTACAGGCTGAACCACTGAGCCCTGCCTTTTGCCCATTTTAAATAGGGTTATTTGCCTTTCTGTTGTTGAGTTGCAAGAATTCTTTGTATGTTCTGGACATTAGACCCTTGTCAAACAGATGATTTGCAAGTATTTTCTCCCATTCTGTGGGTTGTCTTTCTTAATATTGTCCTTTGACACACAAAAGTTTTTAAGTTCAATTTGTATATTGCTTATGTGATTGCTTGTGCTTTTGTTGTCATATGCAAGAAACCCTTGCTTGGTCCAAGGTCATGCAGATTTTCATCTTTGTTTCTGTTCTGTGAAAGGGCCATGTATGCATAGTGGCCCCCAAATGCCAAAGGAGGTGAGAAACCAAAGAACAAGGCCGACAAATCCAGTTTTTTGATAAGAAATATTTTGTTGAGGGAACCTAACAGACAGAAGCATAGTCTCGGGTGACTGTAAGTCTGATAGATTGCTGCACTTGTTACTCCCAGACCCAGGACTTATATACCATAGAGAAAAGGGGTACATGCTCTGTAGAGATCATTCAGGGCAAACCTGCAGAATGGGTAAGGATGCTATGTGCATGATAGCCTTTAAATTATGGAATAACATTAAAGTTGACATGTTCTTACTTAGGGACAGTGTAAACTAAGTGGGATTCAGGAGGCATTCTCAGGACTGGGGCTAATCAGAAGTCATCATGGTGGATTAGTATCCAAGATAAGATCACTTTTGTCTCCATAGTTTCCTTCTAAGAGTTTATTGTTTTAGCTCTTATGTTTAAGTCTTGAATCATTTTGAGTTAAATTTTTTGGATATGTTGTGAAGTTGGTGTCTAAATTCATTCTTTGCATGTGGATATCCACTTGTTCCCACACCATTTCTTTGCCAATTGAATAGTCTTGACACCCTTGCCTAAGTCATTTGACCAAAACGTGTATTGGTTTTAAGCTATTTTTAAATGTTTAATAAATCTATAATACAAAGTAAAAATGTTTATGGCAAATGAAATAAGTGTCTGCTGTTATACCTCTAGCAGTTTGGGATTATTTGTTGTCGCAGCAAAAACTCATATGGATGTTCTAAGTAACTTAGTTCTTATGCTGTGCAACATACATTTATCTGAGAACGAATATGTAAATAGCAAGTTAAGTCTTTACATTCCCCAATAGCATTTATTCATTGGAGCAGGGTTATACAATGTAGAATGGCATCGTGAAGTTCAGATCTGGACAGAATGTGAAAGAATTTTTAACTGGAGTCAGTAAAGTGATCTTGCTTAAAGTCATACATCTGGTTAGTATCAAGCCTGGAATTACAAGGCGAGTCCTGCTTTGATGTTCTTTCTGTGATGTGCTATATAACTGAGCTTTAGGTGCTATGTGAGGTAGTCTCAAAAAGCAAAATGTCCAGGCTGATCTACCCCAGATAAAGCAGCAGATTATTTTTTAGTATGTGACTGTCAAATTATGGATTAGTAAGAAGTCCTCTTATTTGATATTATCAGGGCAGGTACTTGGTTGAGTAACTAAAAATGCTAAGCAAGTACTCTTAAGGAATGGTGCATACCAACCTTAATATTTGATTTTTATTTTTTCTTGAGTTGGAGTCTCACTCCATTGCCCAGGCTGGATTGCAGTGGTATGCTCATGGCCACCCCAACGTTGACCTGCTGAGCTCAGGCAATCCTTCCGCCTCAGCCTTCCAAGTAGGCAGAACTATAGGCCTACGCTACCACACCCGGCTAATTTTTGGATTTATTGTAGAGATGAGGTCTCACCAAGTTGTCCAGGCTGTTCTCCAACCCGTGGGCTCAGGTAATCCCCTCATCTCGGCAACCCAAAGTGCTGGGAATTACAAACTTGAGTCACCGCACCCGGGCAATATTTTATTTTTTAAAAAACATCTATGTATACATTTGTTCTCCATCAATGTGGTATCAAGCTCTTTTATTCTGAAAATTGATCTTACTAAATTTCCATGTTGTTATTTTTGCATTCAGTTTTGTTTTCTTTCAGTAGAATGGGATTCCAAAGAATCTGGATGTGAGTCCTTCCAGATTTGTTTTGTCCTTCTGCCCCCTGCCCTCCTGGTTCATGGTTCTCTCTCCCATATCTAATTCAACAAAAATTTTCTTAGCAATCTGCCTGTATGAAACCTTCCCAAAGCACTTGTGTCAGTTTTCATTAAAACAATCATCTTTTTTCTACCCATGTTTCATTGGTTTATACAGTGTATAATAAAATAAATATGATTGTGATAATAAATTCAAGTGCCTTTAACAAGTTTGGAAATTATTGCATCTGGTTTTTAGTGACCAAACAGCTCAGTTAGTGAGAGTCAAGTCACAGGTGAAATAGATAGTAACCTGTGAGCTGTATGCTTGTCAGCCCTCTAGGGGTGTCAGTATGCAATGAAAGGGAAGCAGAGAGCATAGCTAGTCTTGAGACTAGTACTTGATTTTGGTTGAAGCAAGCCTCCGTACATCTGTCCATATAAAATGTTAATGCAAGTGTATATGTATCATGAAAAGACATCAAAGTTGTATTATCCTATAAGGAAAAGCAGTTTATACAACAGCACGAGTATCGACAGCCTGTATACACACGTGTGTAGAAAAAAGTGTGGTAGACTGCAAGCCTGGTAGATTGCTGCACTTGTTACTCCCAGACCCAGGACTTATATACCATAGAGAAAAGGGGTACATGCTCTATAGAGATTATTCAGGGCAAACCTGCAGAATGGGTAAGGATGTGAATCACTGTGTTAAATAGAACAAAAAATATTAATAGTTCTCATCTCTAGAGCATGAGTTTCCCCCCCCTTTCTGTAATTCCTTCCTGCTAGAAAGTTTTACATCGAACATTTACTGCTATAATATTAAGGGCCAAGGCCAGGTGTGGTGGCTCATATCTCTAATCCCAGCATTTTGGGAGGCTGAGGCAGGAGGATTGCTTGAGCCCAACAATTAAAAACCAGCCTAGGCAACATAGCAAGACCTCATCTCTACCCAAAAAGTAGCTGGGCTTGGGAGGCTGAGGCAGGAGGAATGCCTGAGCCCAGGAGGTTGAGGCTGTAGTGAGCTGTGATCATGCCACTGCACTCCAACCTGGACGCCAGAGTGAGACCCCAACTTAAAAACAAAAAGTAAGAGAAAAAAAACTGTTTCTATTTAAGAAGAACCTGGTGGAAATACATCATTCTGAAAAATAAATTCACTTGTAGAGTTTAGGCAGCAGGAGAGAATGTTCTTGGTCAGGGTCCACCCCTGCTTCACATCTTTATAAAGTGAACAAGCACCTTCATGTTGTCATGTATAATCAAAGGTACTTTCTTCCATAGCAGTATAGCCTTGTTAAATGGTCGGAGTGGGCTTTCCTTCTCATTCTCTCTCATTTCGTTCCTATATATAGATATGGCATCATTGCAATAATTCTTTTTCTTTCGGGCTTTATTTTTCAGGAAGATTTCGATGTCGATCATTTTGTGTCTGACTGTAGGAAGCGGGTCCAGTTGGAAGAACTGAGAGATGATCTGGAACTCTACTATAAACTTCTTAAAACAGCCATGGTAGAACTCATCAACAAGGATTATGCAGATTTTGTCAACCTTTCAACAAACTTGGTAAACTTTAAATCCACAATCTTTACATTTATATACACATACAATTTCTTTTTCGCTCATATTTATTCTTAAAAGTGCTGAGTGTTTTTAGAAACCTTTTAGTTGATCTCCTTCCCAGAAATTTGAAAAAATCACTAATCTCATCAGTAAAAGAACCAAATTTTCCTGATACATTTTTAAAAATATATTTTCTTTTAAAGGTGTGGGGTACAAGTCAGGATTAGATACGTAAGTGGTCGACGTACACGTGAAGTTTAGGCCGTTACATTTTTGTTTTTAGTTTTTACTCATTTAAGACTGTTCTAGCTTGAATGTTTTTTGAATGTGATGTAAAGTATTAGTGAAAAGTAAAAGGTAGTAATAGCAGAGTGGTTGTTTTGTTAGCTGCTGGGTACCATGAAATCTCTTGGGTTTAGACCAATTTGTAAGAGCAAATATCAGCTGTTCTCAAGGAAATGGTTCATTTATTTTGAGATACATATGCTAGCCAGAGCTAGGTTGAAGGAACATTGGCCCATATTGATCTTTAGGAGACTTGGTTTCATAAAATGTAATAGTTTATCATGAGCATATCAGTTTGTGAAAGTAGGTTAGAAGATTTTGAGTTTTAATACTCCCAAAGTTCGCCTTTTAGTCTTCTTATTCATAATTTATTTTGCTTTTAAATCTGTCCAAATAGGTACAGAGAGTAGGCATCTCTAGAATTTTAAGAAACTTTAAAATGAATGAGCCATACTTGCTGTTGGGAAATGCATTACTAAGATAATATTCCAGTAGGATTAGAAACCCAGAAAATTGTATTTCCGTTCTATTTCATTTAGATTTCCCTCGGGGGTTATAATGTTTGAGAGAGATAGACTCTGTTTTCAACTGGTTGGTTATCACAAATTACAGACAACTATTTACCTTCAGATAAAATTTTTAAAATTTTATTCAAAGGCAAATTGTGCATAAGGAGGCCTTCATTTATTATAACTTCCTTTATTTTTAGTTTTTATGAATATCAATGGATATTTTCATATTCTACCAACAATATTTATGGCAAAATAGCATTTCTGTTATTTAGCTACTTAGTAATACATGGTAGTTCATTTTTTTTTTTTATAGAAAGAATAACGCAAATCTAGTATCAATTTGATTATTACATCGATGCTTAGCTCTTACTCTTGATTGTCATGTGTTTATACCAGCATGACTTCTGCTTTTAGGTTGGCATGGACAAAGCCCTCAACCAGCTTTCTGTGCCTTTGGGACAATTACGAGAAGAAGTTCTGGTAAGTTCCCCAAATAATATTTTACCATAAAGCATGATGTGCTTGTTTGCTCCTTTAAGAAAGGTTCCTTTAATCTGTTAGGTTGTTTTTTGAATTAGTTAGTGATTACAGTACTCACCCTCAAAAAGGTTATATATGTTTTTCTATTTTTTGCATGTGATGCTGCAACCTAAAAAAGTATTTGATTTGAGCCAGGCACAGTGGCTCACACCTCTGATCCCAGCACCTTGGGAGGCGGAGGCGAGAGAATTGCCTGAGCCTAGGGTGCGAGACCAGCCTGGACAACTTGGTGAGACCTCATCTCTATAATAAATCAGAAAAATTAGCCGGGCATGGTGGCTTGCACCTGTAGTTCCAGCTACTTGGAAGGCTGAGGTGGAAGGATCACCTGAGCCCAGCAAGTCAAGGCTGCAGTGCCTGTAAGCCTGCCACTGCACTCCAGTGCAGGTGATAGAGTGAGACTCCTACTAAAAAAAAAATGTTTGATTTGAAATTTACAGATTCTCAGAGTAGATGGCTTTAAAATGTGGGGGAAGGAGAAGAGGAATATTTAGAAATTCAACTCATTAGTGCTCCCTAATTCATTCATACCTAGGTAGTCACCAATATAGAAGTGGCTTATATTTTTAAAATTTGTGATTTCACAAGTATTTTCCCAAGTGATATTTTATGTGTGATTAAGTTCCTAGACTAGTTCACAAAAGCTGTTAAAATCTAGTGAAACTGAAAGATCATACAAAAGTAATATAATGCCTATTAAACAAGTTATTTTAATGTTTCTTTGAGGTAGTTTCTTCTATGGAAATGGGACTCCCTACCTCTAAGCCACTGGGGAGAGGGGCTCCATCTGGATGAGCAATTGAGGGGGGAGTTCTGGCACCACTTCCTGCAGAAAAACCGTACCAGGTCTACTTCCCAGTTTTTTCAGGTGCCCTGACTTCAAGGCTCTCTGAGTGGTGATGAGAGATCCCAGATTTGGTCCAGGATACAGTTGTTACCTGTGCATGGCACCACTAGATCATGCACAGCTTGTGTGGCATTATGTCCTAGTCCCCACGGCAGTGCCTGCATATAGTAGGCTTACAGTAGATGACGTAAGTAAACTCAGTACATGTCTAGTGCTGGAAAAATGCAGACTAACAAATGTCAGTGCTTAGAAGTCCACAAGAAGGGCAAGAAGGAATTCAAAAAAGATACTAGTCTTGAGCAAATCTTTTCAAATGTGTACATCTTTCATGATTTTTTAAAAAGCTTGTTAGGGTGCAGAGGAATGGCTTTTGTGGTCTGTTGTTGAGTGCCACACCAGCCTCTCTGTGGCTCTGCATGACTCTTGTGTAGCTTCCCTGAGTTTTTGGCGAACCTCTTCCTACCTGCAGCCTTGGAGATGGGGTGTTCCCTGAGCCTCAGCTTCCGCCTTCCACTGCCCTCCCCCAGCGCCGTGCCATGCGCCAACTCTGAGCTGCTCTCCCGGCAGCCTCTTGCCTGCCTTGTCTTCACCAGCACTGCATCCCCCACCTTTTTCCGCTGCTGACTTTAGAGCCGCCTTTTTCCTAACTGGTTGACCTACAGACCTTCATCTTGACCCCAACTTTGGAAGCTGCTCTGTGAGGTTCTAAGATCATGGAGCTATGATGAGACTGCTTCTCATTTCTTCGTCATCGTGTCCTCATGGCTTGCATAATGGCTGATATTTACTGGATATTTCATAACACTTGTTGAGTAAATGAAGTTACTTTTCTATGGCATTTTTGTGATTTGATCAGTTTATTTTGGTTGTTGTTATTACCTTCATTCTGGCCCTAATTTCTAGTTACCTCATGTTTAGCTTAATTCATTAGCTTTTGAACATATTTCTCCACCTACGGCCTCTCTTTTCCTGGCCATCCTGTTCCTGAATTCTTGATTTCTAATTTTCTCAAAACAACATTTTTGTCATTATAATAGTTCTTAAACTGTGTAGAATCCAGTCTAAAGACCTTATCTGGGCAAAGTCCTTCTAATTTAACCCCTTCCTCTTTATTTCTACTTTTCTCCCAGGTGAAGCCTGTGGTGCACCCAGATGTGTCCCTCACTGGTCCTGGTCCTGTGCCAGTTCTGTCTTCCTGCCTTTAGTCTTCTGATAATCGGTGCTTGTCACTGTCCACAGAGTTTTAGAGTATACCTCAAGTCCCATGCCTTCCTCCTGATACCCTATGCTTTGACTCAGGTTATCCTTTCTCTCCCCTGCCCATGCATGGTGCTCATTGTACATGCATTAATTTTCTTTTGGCAGTTGATCCTGCATAACCTTGGCTTTATATGTCATTTTGCCCCAAATCATGAATACCCTAAACAGCAATTGTGTCTAATATTTTATAATTTTGTTAGTATCTGCATAATACTGGCCTGTGGGTATCAAGTCCTGTGGAATTGAATTAAATGTGTAAATTTAATAATATTGCAAAACAGTTTCTGCAGTATGTTGTTTTTCTGTTTCTTTAAAGAGCCTCAGATCATCTGTCAGTGAAGGAATTCGGGCAGTAGATGAACGAATGTCTAAACAAGAGGACATTAGGAAAAAAAAGGTATACTCAAGTATCATAACATTAAATATTGACCCATTCTAGCAGCTTGTAATAACAAGCACTTTTTGGCATATGATTTGTTTTACTCTTCCTGGTACCTTTGCAGAGGGAGCTTGGGGTCTCAGTTTTATATTTCAGGGTCAGTAGCTTAACAAGTCTACTGAGAGGCAGAGCCCAGGTCATCTCATTGCTGGTCTGATTAAAGTCCTGTGAATGAGAGGGATGCAACAGAGTGATTCGTTTTTGGTTTTTTTTTAAAGAAAACAGGCAAAGAAAATGGCATATTCTTTTTGTGCTTTAATTTATTTATGGTAGCATGAACATTTTTTAAGGAAAGTTACAGATTTCTTACGTTACATGCCAGCTAGAAGCCCTCATGTTCTCTATTTGTAATAAGAAGACAGAACTTTAGGAGTACCCAAGTGATCACTAAATTCAAATACCTCAACTAGCAGTGAAGCAACATCTTACTACTTTTAATACCAACGGGACCAAAATTTTTATCATAGTTTTATTTCATCTTACATGACTTCTTACATTTCTCAACGGTCAGTTGCCTGCTAGGAGACTGGTTCTTCACTACCCGTCCCTGAATCTGGAAAAGTTTATTTTGACCTCTGTATTTCATATTTTAAATCTCTCCCTCAATACAAACCGTTCTGCTGGAGCCCTGAGCATCCTCGGGTCGTTTTACTTTTTCTTCACTTGTGGGAAGAGGGATTTTGAAAACCAGAGTCTCTCAACTTAGAGGTGGCCAAGTTTTATAGACATTATTTTTTCAGCACCTCTATAGAGAAAGTGTTCTTATGTGCATTTTGGAGATCAGGGAGTGAGTGAGCTTCCTAAAGCAAACTCTTTCAGCAATCTACTGCAGGCTTGTAGTTTTGGAAAGAGGAGCTTGTTGCTCTCTCATTCCTCCATGTCTGTTGCTGCCTTTGTTTCTCTTTGCATATGCCTTTGTGTGCACTGCCTTCACTTTTCAGTAGGGCTTTGCTTTAATTTAATTTTTTTATTTCTTTGTAATCATGATTATGTAATAGCAGAATTGGAATTAGAATTCAAGTCTTGTTTATAGCCTGAAATGTGGCTAATTTTCATAAACCCAGGGTGCTTGAAAGAAATATATGTTCTCCATTTGTTAATTTCATATTTCATAGATGGATACACATTCAATTAAGCTTGTGTTGTTCAGATTTTTTATATTATTGATTTGTTGCTTGATGTGTCAGTTATTGAGGAGATATGTTAAAATATTCCATTATTGTGTGGAATTGTCCATTTCTCTGTAGTCCAGACATTTTTTGCTTTATATTTACTATTAAGTGCAGTAGATATAAAATTGTTAAATCTTCTTGGTGAATTAAGCCTTTTTAATAGTGATCCTTTCTATATTTAGTAATCCTTTTTTCTTTAAATCTATTTTGTCTAATATTGATGAAACTCTGCCAGTTTTTAAATGTTTTCTTGATTTTTAAAATAAACTTTACATTAAATTTACAAAAATAATTCAAGACTTATAACTAGCCAGTGCACTATTCAGTATTTTTTAAAGTTATTTATTAGCACACTTAAAAAAAAAAATCTCAAGGGAGAGAAGCCTGATTTAGAGATCTGGTGTTTAATTCTCCTCTATATCCCTCCTCGACTTTTGTCCAAAGATTCAAGAATGTAGCACACTGAGAAAAGATTACCAACTTTATGAGAGCAGGAATTTTTGCCTGTTTTTTTCACTCGCAACCCAATGTCTGGAAGAACGCCTTGGTTCAAAATAGATGCTTAGTCAAGACAAGGCTGCCCACTCTCACCACTCCTGTTCAACATTGTGTTGGAAGTCCTAGCTAGAGTAATTAGACAAGAGAAGGAAATCAGGGGTATCCAAATAGGAAAAGAGGAAGTTAGGTTACCCCTCTTTGCTGACGACATGATCCTATACTTCAAAAATCCAAGAGGATCTGCCAAAAGTCTCCTTTTACTGATAAAGGACTTTGGCAAAGTCTCAGGGTATAAAATAAATGTGCAAAAGATAATTGCATTCTTACACACCAACAACAAATAGGCAGAGAACCAAATAAAAAGCACAATCCCATTCACAATAGCCACAAAAAATTGAAATACCTCGACAGTGAAAGACCTTTACAATGAAACTACAAAACACTGCTTAAAAAATCCAAGAAGACACAAACGAATGGAAAAATATTCCATGCTCATGAATAGGAAGAATTAACATCATTAGTATGTCCTTCCTACCAAAGGCAATTTACAGATTCAACGCAATACCCATGAAGTTACCATCATCAGTCTCTTCTCAGACCTGGAAATGACAATACAGAAATTCATACAGAAGTGTAAATGACCAAGAATAGCCAAGATGATCTTTAGCAAAAGGAGCAAACCGGGAGATATCATACTACCAGACTTTAAACTTTACTATAAGCCTTCAGTAATCAAAATAGCCTAGTATTGGTACAAGAGTAGGCCTAGGAACCAATGGAACAGAGTAGAGATTCCAGAAGCAAAACCTCAATTTCTCAACAAACTCATCTTCGACAAAGCCACCACCACCATCCACTGGGGAGAGGAGAACCTATTCAGTAAATGGTGCTGGGAAAACTGGCTGACCACATACAGAAGATTGAAACAGGACTCCTACCTATCACCGTACACAAAAATTCACTCTAAATGATCAAAGACCTAAACGTAAAATCTCAAACTATAAGAATGTTAGAAAACGCAGGAGACACCCTTACAGAAATCGGAGTAGACAACCAATTGCTGACTAAGACCCCAGATGTCTTTGCCATAAGAAATAAGATGGACAAGTAGGACCTCATGAAACTGAAAAGCTTCTACAAAGCAAAAGAAACCATTAAGAGAGTGGGGAGACAGTCCACAAAATGGGAAAAAATATTTTTCAACTATATATCTGACAAGGGCCTAATATCCAGGATCTACAAGGAATTCAGACAAGGAAAAAAACAGCCCTATTAAGCAGTGGGCAAAAGACATGAATAGACACTTCTCAAAAGGAGATATATGGGCAGTAAACAGATACATGAAAAAATGCTCAGTCTCACTAATCATAGAAATGCAAATCAAAACCACATTGAGATACCACCCAGTGAGAAAGGCCATCATTAATAAAACAAACAACAACAGATGATGGCGAGGATGCGGAGAAAAGGGAATGCTTCTATACTGCTGGTGGGCATGCAAACTAGTTCGACCTCTATGGAAAACAGTGTGGTGATTTCCGAAAGAACTAGAAATTGACCTTCCATATGTCCCAGCAATCCCCCTGCTGAGAATATACCCAGAAGAACTCAGATCATTCTACAGAAAAGATACCTGCACATACATGTTTATTGCAGCACTATTCATAATAGCAAAAACATGGAGCCAACCAAGCTGCCCACTGAAAATAGGATGGATTAAAAAAATGTGGTACATATACATGATGGAATATTATGCAACTGTAAAGAAGGACAAACATATGAACTTTGCAGCAACTTGGTTGGATTTAGAGTCTATTATACTTAGTGATCTATCACGGAAACAACAGAGTACCACATGTTCTCACTCACAAGCAGACTCTGAACATTTACCATAAAACTGTAAGAAAGGGATTGGCAGTAGCAGGATACTGCCGGTGTGGGGGGTGGGGACACAACATCAATAAGAGTACCTGATCTCAAACCGGGCAAAGTGGGGACTAAAGGGAGGCCTAAATTTTACCTGTACAATGTCCCCTTGGGTACTTAATCCTGAATTGTACCCCACGTCTTTAAAATAAAAATAAAAGATGCTAGTAACTATTTGTTTAACGACTAGCTTTGTGTTGTTTTGTTCTTTTAGGGATGAGAGGTGTTATGATGTTCTTCAAACTCTGTGATAACATTTGCCCTATGCAATAAATGTCTTAAATGAACGGGCACTTAGGTACATGGATGAACCCTACATACACATGTGAATGGAAAGGTCAAATTTTGGAAACTAAAATTAAAACATGGAAAAAAGACCTTAAGAAAATAAATGTAGTGATAGAAAAAAGGTTCGTTTAAAATGGGGAAAAGAAGGAAGGAATAGGAGTGCAGAATATAGGAAACCAAAGTGTTTAGTTTTTATTTGTTTGTTTATGTATTTATTTATTTTTAAATGATAAACTTGTGACAGAACATTGAAATATGTTTGCTCTAGAAAGCCAAAACTGAGGTTTGCATTCTAGGAATTTAGTGTTATATAAAAATATTCAAGTTGTAGAATGCTATAAGTATCCTATATTGACTTTTAGTTTTGCATTTTCCAGATGTGTGTGTTGAGGCTTATACAAGTTATTCGATCAGTTGAAAAAATTGAAAAAATCTTAAACTCGCAAAGTTCTAAAGAAACATCTGCACTAGAAGCAAGCAGGTAAGTATTTTTTACTAAATAACACAGAAAGTAATACTTCATACCCAAGCTATAATTATTTTTTAAGTTATAACTTATTTCTGATAAAAAATGAAATTCAAATGTATGGCTTAGTGTTTTTAAATGCAGCTGAAGAAAAGTAGAGTGCATGAAGTAATAAAGCTTGTGATATGTGTTGTTGTAAAGCTTTGGTGGTTGTAGGCCACCATTCCAACACGAACCTTTCAGGGAAGCAGAGAATGTGTGCTTTCTGTGGAAGATTTTTATCTGTGGAATTCCCTTACTAAGGGACTAGCAAAATCCTTATTGATCGTCAAGATGTGGAATAGCATTCATCTTAGAGGTTTTAGACAGGCCCAGCGTATTATAGTTGCTATATCTTGAGACTCAAAATCCACTAGTATGATATAATTAAGAAATAGTACAAGACACAACTAGTTGCAATGTATATACAGCAAAGATAAAGCTTGTGAAATAAAAGATGAGCATTTATTTTGTTACCCTATAACTGTCTTATTACTTTCCTACTCTGAATTTAAAATCAGCCGGGAGTCTAGTGACTCAGAAAATGAGTTGACTCGATCATATTGACACTAGTGGGAAGCCCCGTGGTACAGTAGAAAGAGCACAAGGTATGTTGCAGGTACCAGCTGGATATCCCAAGTCGTTGCTTCAACTCTGTCTTAGTGTTGTCATCCCTAGTGTAAGGCTAACAGTGACTCCATTGGCAAGGTTGTCTAACAGTCCGTTGAGATCCTAGCGTGTCAGGCCTTCGTGCATGTGTATTTGCATCTCACACAAGTATCTCTTAAAGTCACATTGACAGTTACAACAGTTTTCCACAAGTGATATGGGATAAGCTGCTGGAAAACTGAATGGATTAGACGTGCAGTTCAAAGTCCTGATCATGTTCTAAAGGTGTGCTGGATTTCCTAGTTTTAGGAGCTTTCCATTTGGGAGGGACCTTAGAGACAAAATGTTCCATGTCTCTCATTTTATAGATTAAGAAATGAGTCATCCAAGGAGGAAGTGACCTTTCTGTCCCAGGTCTCTGTTCCCTTCCTGATCAAGATGTGTATACACATGGTCTGGCGCTGGCCCCTGCTTTTCTCGGCCTGCTGCGCTTGTGCTTCTTCCCTTCCCGCGCTTCCTCCTCTGCGCACCTCAGAGTCCCCTTGACGTCCACTCTGAGAAGCCAGGGGCTCTGCTTCTCTTTTGCACCCGGCAGCCTTGACAGCCCCTCCCGACCGTGTTCTTGGCATCTGTGATACCTGCTTCCCCGTTTTCTCTCCACCTTGCCCATGTCTGCTCTCTTGCTTCAGCAGCCTCCCAGGCACTGTCCTCAGCTCTACTCATGATCAGCACCTCAGGGCGATCTCATCCAGCCTCATGGTCTGAATGACCCTTCGATCCTGGACTCTCTGCCTGCAGACTCGTGTCTGCAGTCCTCACACTGTGCCGTCTGACTGTGGGAGTCTGCTGGACGTTCTTCGGCCCCTCACTCTGGTCTTGTCGAAAACGGAGCTCACGGGCGGCCTTCCCAGTCTCGCTCTTCCTCTTCATTCCTTGTCTAAGGAAACAGCACCTCACTTCCCTTCAGCCGCCAGGCCAGAGATCTGGGGAGGGTCCTTTTCTCCCTTTCTTTCACTCACCGCCACCTTGCATTCACGAGGACAGTCCAGCAGCATCTGCTGCTGTGTTGCGTCTTGTGTTGAAAGATGTCTATCTCCTCTCCAGTCCTTCCATTGTCTTGCTTCAGGCAGGGCCTCCTGACTGACCTCTTGCCTGTTCTAGGACACTAGCTGTGCAGCTGCAGACTGACTTTGCAGATTCGTCTAATTGCATTTCACTCTTGCTTCAAGTCCTCTGATGGCTTCCCGATGTTTTTAGGAGAAATCTCTTTTTTTTTTTTTGAGCTGGAGTCTCACTCTGTCACCCAGACTGGAGTGCAGTGGCTGCTCCCCAGCCACCGCAACCTCGACTTGCTGGGTGCCGGCGATCCTTCTGCCTCAGCTTTCCAAGTAGCTAGAACTACAGGCGTGCACTACCACGCCCGGCTAATTTTTTTGATTTATTGTAGAGATGAGGTCTCACCAAGTTGCCCAGGCGGGTCTCGAACCTGCAGGCTCAGGCAGTCCACCCGCCTTGGCCTCCCAAGGCCTCCCGCCTTGGCGGGATTACAGGCTGAGCCATTTAAACTCCTAAGCCACCCTTTGCCACTTCTCCGGTGTTCTCCACTAAAGCTGTTCAGGAGTGCATGTGGTTCCCTGACTGCTGTAGACATAGTTAATTTATGCTTCCGTAATTTTACCTGTGGCTGTTCACTTGTACTAAAGGCCCTCTCTTTCATTTCTGTTTCCCTTCATCTGCCTAATCCCTTCTTGTTCCTTCCAAATCCAGCTCAAAACATGCTTAATGTGTGGAAAAGTACTGTTCAAGTACTGAACCAAGTAAAAAAGAAGTGCATTATAAAACAATATGAATGTTTTTGTAAAATGTGTTCTTTGCTGTTGCACTGAATACTGTTGATTCTTCCTGCTTTCTTTGAATTATGTCCTACAATGTTCTGTAACAGAATATACAAATCAGACACTACAAAAGTTATCTTTCATAAAACTCAATTTTTGGAAAGTGTGATTTTATTTATTTATTTTTATTTTTTATTTTTTGAGCAAGGGTCTCACGCTGTCACCCTGGCGCAAGTGCAATTGTATATCATGGCTCACGGCAGCCTCAGGTGATCCTTCCACCTCAGCCTCTCAAGTAGTTGGTACTTCAGGTGTGCACCTGGCTAATTTTTTCATTTTTTGTAGAGACAGTGTCTTACTATGTTGCCCAGGCTGGTCTCGGACTCCTGGACTCAAGTGATCCTATCACTTTGACTTCTCAAAGTGCTGGGATTAGCCGGGCTCGGTGGCTCAGCCTGTAATCCCGCGCCTTTGGGAGGCTGAGGTGAGTGGATTGCCTGAGCCCGTGGGTTCGAGACCCGCCTGGGCAGTGAGACCTCATCTCTACAATAAATCAAAAAATCAGCCGGGCGTGGTAGCGCATGCCTGTAATTCCGGCTACTTGGAAGGCTGAGGCGGAAGGATCGCCGGAGCCCAGCAGGTCGAGGCTGCGGTGGCCGGGAGCGGCCACTGCCCTCCAGTCTGGGTGACAGAGTGAGACTCCAACTCAAAAAAAAAAAAAAAAAAAAAGTGCTGGGATTACGGGTATGAGCCACTGCGCCCAGCTGGCAAATGTAATTTTAAAGTAAGCGATTACTGTTGAAATGTAAATTAAGCTATTTTGAGATACTTTATTTATTGCTGCTGGAGGGCCAGTTTTGTTTTTTGAGAAGACAAAAGCATTTGGTACTTAGAAATATTAGAGATATTTTAGAAGAGAAAAAGAGGCAGGCAGAGAAGTAGAAGAGGACCCCGGTGTAAACAGTAGGACGGAGGGGAAGAGAAGGGAGGTTACAGATGAAGAAGACCGGGCCACTCCCTTGGGCCCCCTCCCCCTGTGGGAGCTTTTTTGTCTTCTCAATAAATCCTGCCTTCTTAAAAGATGAAGAAGATCATGAATAGAGAGCATGGAGGTGATGGTGGGAACACATAATTGCACCCACGCTGGCCTGGACAGCTCTACTTCTGTCTGGCTGGGCCCAGCAGCTCCAGACAGCATCAGCAACTTTGACTCCTCACCATATCGAGAACATGCCTGCATGTGGCTTGTAGGGAAAATTGACTGATGGCACTATTTTCACCTTGTAGCAAAATGGCCTTGGAAAATCACTGAGTGCAGAGGTTTGAGGCTGTGGTAACAGTCTCAAAAAAAAAAGAAGAGGAAGGAAGGGAGAAAAACCTTAGAGATGACATTTCTATGATTGTTGTCTCTACTAGCCCACTTTTGACTGGACAGATTTTGGAGAGAATCGCCACAGAATTTAACCAGTTACAGTTTCATGCTGTTCAAAGCAAAGGCATGCCTCTTTTGGACAAAGTAAGACCAGTAAGTGTTGCTTTTGGATTTTCATAATTTGATATTTAGGAATTTGATAAATAATTTGGGTTTAACCTAGTAATGGCCTGATGTTAATTTCTGTTCTACGGGACTTTGAAGTGAACCTTGAATTTTTTTGTTTTTGTTCTTTAGACCTCTGTTTTCTAAGCCTCACACATTATAGATTTTGTGTAAAGACTGAGTCACATTCTCTAAATTATAAGAGTAAAATTAATTCTGAGTTTCATGTAGGGTGGTGTATTACGTGATGTAGACAGATTTAATTTCTCCAAAGTCCTTGACCGGACTTTAAATATGATGTTTGTCATAAAGATTTACTCTGTAGCTTAAGAGGAACATAATTTCTTTCTCATTCTGTAATTGTATCCAGATTTCTCTTTGATGCAGCAGAGATTTATAAAGAGACTGTGGGGAAGAGGAAGGATTGGTTGTTACTTAATAGGAAATATTGATATTTTAGATTTACATATATTGTCTCCTATTGGAGTAAGAGACGTGTTATGTATATATTTGAATTTTTAGAAATTGTTCCAGCTAGAGCTTTCTTTACTTTTCTTACAGCGTATAGCCGGCATTACAGCCATGCTACAACAGTCATTGGAAGGTCTCCTTTTAGAAGGCCTTCAGACTTCCAACGTTGATATAATACGGCACTGCTTGCGGACTTACGCCACAATTGACAAGACACGGGACGCAGAGGCCTTAGTTGGTCAAGTGCTAGTGAAACCATACGTAGACGAGGTCTGTTCAACAAACATTCATAGAGTGTCTACTCTGTCTTCAGCTCTTTATTGGGTGTGAGGGATATGAGAAGATAAAACAGAGATTTTTCTGGAACAATTCTCTTAGATAACAGCAATATCAGCTGTAAGAAAGGGCTACTCCTTGTCAGTTACAGTTGGGATTCCGTGAGTCAGGCAAGCTCTCTAGTATATTCTAGAGGTGCTGTGCCTGGGATATCATCTTAATTTAGTGGAGGTGAGAGTCTTAGAGGAAGAAGGCAGGCATCAAAACATCTTTAGACCAATTTTATGGTATGTAAATTATGCCTCAGTAAAGTTGTTAAAAAAGTGTTTTTAGATGGGGTGTGATGGCTCACGCCTGTAACCCAGTACTTTGGAAAGCTGAGGTGGAAGGATTGCTTGAGCCCAGCAGTTCAAGACCAGCCTGGGCAATATAGTGAGACCTCATATCTACAAAAAATAATAATAAATTTAAAAAAAGTTTTGAACCACTGGTCTTGTGGGTGGACTAAACAGTTAAACAATGACAACACTACCGTGTATCAAGAACATGCTATGAGCATGGAAAGGTTATGTGAGTGAGGGTAGACAGTGGTACCCACAAGCCTTCAGGGAATAGATGACATCTGACCCAAATCTTGAAGAATATGGAGGAGTTTGATGGGCCAGGAAGATATTCAAAGATGAAGGACTTTAATAGCAAATTAACAGAGTAATACCTTAGCTCTCAGAACTTGGCTATTCAATATCCTTCACCTGTTAGGCTTCATTTAATATACAGGAAGCAACTATATCCTGCCTTTGAGCAGCCAGAGGATTGGTTGTGCACTATGAACTTGCTGATACTCAACAGTTTCTGACATACAAAAACGCAACTTCATCTGGTCCAAACTGATAGAAATCTCAGAGTCTATGCTTAGTTTAGAGACTTTCTTCCAGTCCTGTCAGTGTGAGTGTTCTTTCTGACCAATAAGTACAAGGGTTATATTACCATGACTTCCAGGTGAAAGTCTTTTATTTTTTTCGTTCCTATTTTTTTTATTTTTTTGAGTTGGCATCTCACTCTGTCGCCCAGGCTGGAGTGCAGTGGCACAGTCATGGCCACCGCAGCGTTGACCTGCTGACCTCTAGCAATCCTTCCGCCTCAGCCTTCAAAGTAGCCATAAGTACAAGCCCGTGCTACCACGCCCAGCTAATTTTTTTTTCATTTATTGTAGAGTCAAGGTCTTGCCAAGTTGCTCAGGCTGGTCTGGAACCCGCAGGCTCAGGCAGTCCACTCAACTCTGGCCTCCCAAAGTGCTGGGATTACGGGCTGAGCCACCAAGCCTGGCCGAAAGTCTTTTATTTGTTTATTTATTTATTTATTTTTGAGTTGGAGTCTCACTCTGTCACCCAAACTGGAGTGCAGTGGCTGCTCCCGGCCACCGCAGCCTCACCTGCTGGGCTCCGGCGATCCTTCCGCCTCAGCCTTCCACGTAGCTGGAACTACAGGCATGTGCTACCACGCCCGCCTGATTTTTTTATTTATTGTAGAGATGAGGTCTCACTGCCCTTTGATCCCAATGATAAAAATGAAATGTAGGGATTAATTTCAGTAATCCTAATGGCTTTGTTAGGATTGCTAAAAATAAATTATCTTTCACTTCTCTCTGTATCCTCTTATATTCTATATTATTTCTGTGGGGTGACAAAATTATGTACTTTTTTTATCAATAAGTAAAAATATTCTGGTCACTAAGTCATGCCTAATGTTTTTCACTGAACTGAATCTGGTATGCTACATTAAATATTTGACGTTTCAGTGACATTGTATTTTGTTGAAACTCATGTTTACACTTCTCTTGTCATATCATTCTTGACTCATAACTTTATCACACACACAAAAATAAAATAATGAAGTAAAATGTATTTTCTTCCACCTTGTTTTGTCTCAAACCCTTTCCTCTTCTGATTGATGGTAGAAGAAAAGACCATGGTTAAGAGAGTGAGGAACTGTAGTGGGGATTTGTAGGCTCTATTTTAAGTCTCCTTTAGAAGGTATTCTTTTACTTTAACACTCAGGGAGGCAGACGAGTGTGCTGGTTTCTCAGCCACAGACCAGTCTCTGTCACCTGTCTGTCTCCCCCGAGGTCAGAACTGTGTAACCCAGTCCTGGGAACTCATTTTGAATATAACCTATTATTAACTTGGTGGTTTAGAAAATACGTCAGGGAAGAAGGTGAGTATGAGGAAGCTTATTTTTAAAGTGTTCTTTATTCCTTTCTCTGAAGTATATAGTTTGTACCTCTCTTTTAAATGCTTTCTTGAAAAATGACGTTCCTTTTAACAGGTGATTGTAGAGCACTTTGTGGAAGCTCATCCCAATGGCCTTCAGATCATGTATAATAAACTCCTGGAGTTTGTTCCTCATCATTGCCGTCTTCTTCGGGAAGTCACAGGAGGAGCCATCTCAAGGTAATTTAGAAGGCTCTGCTTAGACCCTACCTCATGTTTACTGGCTGCACATGTGAACTGCTGGGGCACGGCTGGTTCCGACAGTCCTATATGAACTGAGTCTGTCATGACTTTTGTGAGTTCATTGTTCCCACCCACAATGCTGTGTTGCGGCTCCATTAGTCTCATTTCACAGAGAGGAAACTGAGACAAGTGAAGGCCAAGACTGCCTCTCTGAACCCAGAGCCCATCCTTTTTTCTTTTCTGTTTTTTCCTGATTGAATTTGAAACCAAAATTGATTTCCTTCCACAGTTCTAATGTCATCATCTGCCTGTTAACGTCAGTTCAGCTTAGTTCACTAAGTTTTTTTACTCATTGTGAAGTCATCTGCAATTTTCCCTCCTTTTGCTTAGTTTCCATGACTTTCCAATTTTCTTTCATAAGTTTTCCATTGCTTATCATCACTGCCGTTGTCCCAGTCCACGTCTTGTCAGCTGCTGCTCACAGTAATGGGATCTTGCCACCTAGTCTCCTGCTTTCAGTCTCTTGCTCTGAGTCCAGCCTTCAGACTACATCCGCCCAGAAGTCTGAGATTCGTGGGCTGGGCCTTCTTCATGAATCTTTAGTGGCTTCTCGGCGCACAGAGAGAAAGATCCAGGCTTCTGGACACCAGGCGTCAGGCCCCTTGTGACTCGGCCCTAGGGGCTCTCCTCTCCAGAGCTCTTCCCCGTGGAACTTTCCCTCTGCAGCCCTCGGTACTCTGGCCACGCGGTGCTGCTGGCCTTTCCCCAGCACCCGTGCACCATGTGCAGGCAATCCATTTGGTCTTGAACTTTTGTTCTCTGAGAGAATCTGGGGAAATAAATGTGCTGCTTGTCCCACCGGTACCCATTCTGCTTCCATGGTGCCATTGCAAACGAAGCCGTTTTGCCACTTTGGTTTAGCAGTCAAGAAGATTTGGCTGGATTTGAATCTGGGGACACGAATTGAGTAGAAGTCAGGACATAAAATTACAGAAGCCACAGTCATGAAACAGCCCCTCATTAGATTTGCCGGGGCTTGTCTTGGTTCTGAAATGTCACGTTTCAGAGCTTTAGAATTTATTTTCCACAGTTTTCAGTGTGCAGAATTCATACAGAAGGCACAGAGATGCAAGGGATCGATGTTGCCCCCTGCCAGGTCATCTTCGCCTTCTTCCACCCCGTTGTGCTGCTGCTGCAGGTTCTGCATGTCCCTTACCTGCCCTGGCTCAGCCCCTGACATTTGGCATCCAGAGGCTTGGTGCTTCCCTTACCCATTCCTTCCTTTTGTCACATGTCCTTCCTGACCTTTGTCGCTGGCACACTAGCAACATTCTTTCATGACTCAGCCTCCAAAAAATACAGATTGGCTTTTCTAACCAACCATCTGTGTCAGCTGTTAATCTTGGGGCTTTAATTAGACGTTGACTTTGGAAATGAGGAAATATTGTTGTTTAATATTGATTATACTATGTGTATCTGTAGTTTGAAATCCTCAACATTGTTCTTTTCCGATATACCTTACCAGCTGGCTGTTACTGTGATGGGAAATGCGTGATCTGTGTGGAGCTGGGTGTGTGGGAAGCAGGCACGTTCTTGCCCTTGGCCTGCCCTCCTCCACCCACCAGGCCTCTCTTATCACATGTAGGCAAAACCGTAAGAGTATCTGGTAGCTCTTCCTGGACAGTGAAGCAAAGCTCCATGGTAACCTACCTGTCTTGATAATTTTGCTGAGCAGGAAAATTATGAAAGCTTTCTTCTGTGTATTTTAGTACTTACCAGAATGTTAAGTCCCAGTTTATTTATTTTTAAATTTTTTACTTTAAAGATGTGATGTACAATCCAGGGTTAGGTCTACAAATGTTCATTATGCAGGTTCTGCAGGTACCCTTGTTAATGAGGTATGCCCCCACCCCCAACAGTTTCCTGCTACTGCCAGTCCTTATAGTGTTACGATAATTGTTCAAAGTCCACTTATGAGTGAGAATACGTGGTACTCCATTCTTTGTTTCTGTGATAGATCACTTAGTAATATAGACTCTTAAGTCCATCCAAGTTACTGTGAAGTTTATAATTTTGTCCTCTTTATGGCTGCATGATATTTCATCATGTATCACATTTTTCTTACCCAGTCCTCTTTTGATGGGCAGCACGGTTGGTTCTGTGCTTTTGCTATTGTGGACAATGCTTCAATAAACATGCGTGTGCAGGTATCTTTTTCAGAGAGTGATTTGAGTTCCTCCCAGTACATTCCCAGTAGGGGGATTGTGGGGTCATATGGAAGGTCAACTTTCAGATCTTTTAGGAATCGCCAAACTGTTTTCCACAGAGGTTTTATTAATTTACACTCCCACCAACAGTGCAGAAGTGTTCCCTTTCCCTGCATCCTCTCCAGCATCTGTTGTTTTTTTAAGTTATTGATGATGGCCATCCTGACTGGAGTTAGGTGGTTATCTCAGGGTAGTTTTAATTTGCATTTCTTTGATGACTAGTGAGGCTGAGCATTTTTTCATGTATCTGTTGGCTGCTTGTATGTCTTCTTTTGAAAAGTGTCTATTCATTTCTTTTGCCCACTTTGTAATGGGGCTGTTTGTTTTTTTCCTTTAGGCACATTTGAATTTCTTGTAGATCCTAGATGTTAGGCCTTTGTTAGACATACAGTTGGCAACCATTTTTTCCCAGTCTGTGGGCTGTCTACCCGCTCTCTTGATGGTTTCTTTGGCTTTGCAGAAGCTTGTCAGTTGGATGAGGTCCCATTTATCTATCTTAGCTCTTATGGCATGGGCACTTGGGGTTTTGATCAGGAATTGGTTGCCAGTTCCAGTTTCCATAATGGTGTCTCCTGTGTTTTCTAAGGTTCTTATAGTTTGAGATTTAGGTCTTTGATCCATTTAGAGTTGATTTTTGTGTATGGTGATAGGTAGGTGTCCTGTTTTAATCTTCTGCATGTAGTAAGCCAGTTTTCCCAGCACCATTTACTGAATAGGTTCTCCTCTCCCCAGTGGCTGTTGGTGGAGGCTTTGTTGAAGATGAGCTGGTTGAGAAATTGAGGTTTTGCTTTTGGAATCTCTTTCCTATTCCATTTGTCCATATGCCTATTCTTGTACCAATACCAAGCTGTTTTGATTATTGTAACCTTACAGTAAAGTTTAAAGTCTGGAAGTGTGATACCTCTCACTTTGTTCCTTTTGCTAAAGATTGTTGTGGCTATTCTTGGTCATTTATGTTTCCATATGAATTTCTGTATTGTCATATCCATGTCTGAGAAGAATGCTACTGGTAATTTATGGGTATTGCGTTAAATCTGTAGATTGCCTTGGGTAGGATGGACATCTTAACAATGTTGATTCTTCCAATCCATGAGCATGGAATATTTTTCCACTTGTTTGTGTCATCTTTGATTTCTTTTAGCAGTGTTTTGTAGTTTTCATTGAAAAGGTCTTTCACATCTCTGGTTAGGAAGATGCCAAGGTATTTCATTTTTTTGTGGCTATTGTGAATGGAATTTTTCTTTTTATTTAGGTTTCTATTTGTTTATTGTTGGTGTATAGAAATGCAACTGTCTTTTGCACATTTATTTTATACCCTAAGACTTTGCCAAAGTCCTTTATCAGTGCAAGGAAGTTTTTGACAGATTCTCTTGGGTTTTCGAGGTATGGAATCATGTCACCTGTGAAGAGGGATAACTCGGCTTCCTCTTTTCCTATTTGGATACCCCCAATCTCCTTCTCTTGTCTGATTGATCTAGCTAGGACTTCCAAAAGCTATGTTGAAAAGAGGAGGGGTGAGAGTGGGCAACCTTGTCTTGTTCAGGTTTTCAGGGGAAATTGTTCCAATTTCTGATTGTTTAGCAGTATGCTGGCTGTGGGTTTCTCATAGATGGCTCCTACTATTTTGAGGTATGTTCTATGCCTAGATGTTCAAGGGTTTTTATCAAGAAGGGTGCTGGATTTTATCAAAGTCTTTTTCTGCATCTAATGATACAATCATATGGTTTTTGTTTTTATAGCTGTTGATGTACTTAATGGCAAAATGGATAAAATAGCATGAGACAACAATATATTGCCTCCAAGAGACTTATCTCACTAGAAAGAACACTCACAGAGTCAAAGTAAGAGAATGGGAAAATTTCAGGCAAACAGAACACAAAAGAAAGCAGGAGTTGCAATCTTAATATCAGACAAAATAACAAAATACCCTTTAAGCCGTCAAAAATTTAAAAAGATACAGAAGGCCACTACATAATGGTAAAAGGTTCAGTCTGTCAACAAAAATATCCATCCTAAACATATATGCACCCAACATAGGAGCACCAACTTTCATAAAGCAGCTTCTAGGTAAACTTAAAAAAAAAAAAGGACTCTAATGCTATCATAACTGGGGACTTAAACACCCCACTCACAACCCTAGATGGATCATGAAGACATAAAATCAACAAGGAAATCTGGAACCTTAGTGTGATGTTTGACCAAATGGACTTAATTGATGCCTTCAGAACTCACCCAACAACCATGGAATATACATTCTACTCATCACCACATGGATCATATTTTAAGATCGACCACATCCTTGGCCATAAATCAAGCATAAACAAAGTTCCAATTTAATATGGCAACTTAGCTACAAAACTTCCAGTTTTGCTAAAGTAAGACTATGTAGTAAATTATTTATCATTAGAAAAATTACCTTAAAATAGCATAATGCTCAGAACGCAGTAGTCAAAGTGGCAGGTCAGTAAAATGGTGTTTACCTAGAAGATGTTTGCAGATCTTTAAGTTGATGAGAAACTTCAGGATTCTCCCTTATTTACTTACTTATGTACTCATTACTAACATAGGACTTATACTATATGCTAGGCACTCTCCTAAATGCTTTACAAGCATTGATTCTTGTAATGACTCTGTGGGATTGGTATTGTCATCCCCATGCTAAAGATGAAGTACAGAGACACTAAATGATTTACCCAAGTGCCAAGATGTGAACTCAGGTACACTGACTGGCTCCCAAGTTCGTGCTTTTATCTCAATGCTGCCCGTCCTTTAAGCCTGTGAATTAGGAATCCAAAGTAAAAACTGGCACACATTTAAAAAAAAATAAAAAAACACTAATCTGTTATAGGTTTTTAATATCAAGATTTGTGACCAAGATTTTACGTAATGAAATAGTCATAGATTTTAGAACCCTAGGTAATCTCACAGATAGCTTAATAAGCACAAAGCTGTGGGTAATAGATAGATTAGCATAGTGTACAGTGCTGTAGGGTTTGACGTGCTCAGGTTGAATCTGAAGATTACTTTTCTTGTGGCATTAGACTACTGTACCTTAAGAGTATAAAGGTGGTAGCCTATTTTAGAGGGAAAATTGGGCCAAGACAGTTTTATGTAGTAGTTTTGCCTTATTCTTGACCCCAGGGATAGGAATCTGGAGATTTGTGAGGTTCAGGGTGAGACTGAGATCAAGGAGTGAAATAGAAATTTGAGTCAAGAAACAAACTAACAAATGCAGTTTTTTTTTAAATGTTGAAATAAGTTTTGGACTGAGAACCTTTTAGTAGAAGCAACACAGTGGAAATTTGCTCTTTGTAAATAGAAGATTGTGGTCTATTTTACTGAAATTTTACTCCTGTCTTACAGTGAAAAAGGCAATACTGTTCCTGGATATGACTTTTTGGTGAATTCTGTTTGGCCAGAAATAGTACAAGGATTAGAAGAAAAGTTGCCTTCCCTTTTTAATCCTGGGAACCCTGATGCCTTCCACAAGGTAACTTTCTCTCATCATCTTGAGTCTCAAAGATGTTAATCTGAGGCTTTAGAAAAATCTTGTTCTCTTCTGTACAGTCTTGGTTCTGTAGTTTATTAAAAATAAAAATTTGAATTGCTAAGTGAACATTTACCTTAAGGTACCACATTGTTTTACCCAAGTTATGAACTGCAATGCTTTTAGGAATAAGACCATTTTCATTTTATAATGAAATACATAATTCTGTGTAGATACAATTGTTTATATATATATATAATTTTCTATATAATATATAGATATATTATTTTCTAACTTCTGCTCATCACCACATGGATCATACTCTAAGATCGACCACATCCTTGGCCATAAATCAAGCATAAACAAAGTCCCAATTTAATATGGCAACTTAGCTACAAAAGATGTTTGCAGGTCTTTATATATATATTATTTTCTAACTTTCTTGGAAATGTCCTAAAGACCATTAAAAGACAGTTTTTCACAGTTCATGAAAAATTAAATTTGTCCAGCTTTACTGTATAATTTGGAAGGAAAACAAGTATTGATTGGATTTTAAAATGTACTGTATAAATAGTCTTTATAATCTTAAAAACTCGGAAGCCCTAATGTATATTTAAATCATGGTATCATTGTAAAGATTCATGGCGAAGATGCCAAAGATAAATTCCTAGGTTTGACTCCCACTGTATGGTTTGGAAGATCGTCCATAGTGTCTTGGCTAAGGATAGAGGCACATGGCCCGAACTTTCATCCCAGCTCTCCTGCTCACCATGTTGCTCAACCTCGTGGGGTCTTTCTTCCTTCTCCTCCTCTGGATTTGGGTGTTTGGGTTTTAGTTTTCTTATTCAATAAGACAGGCTGACTCTCTTGGGCAGGTAGTTCATTGATGTCCAGAGACTGAAATTGCTGGTGTAGCTGCGTCTTGCTTTGTACTTCCTTTTCGTCTCTGTTTTTCGCTCATTTCCTCTTTCTTGACTTTTTTCCTCCCCTCCTTCTCCACCTTCTTTGCATTTTCGACTTTTGGGAATTTGTTTTTCTCCTTTATTCGTTTTCCTCTACTAATTTGGAAGTTATACCCTTATGTCTGTATATACTAAGTAACCTCAGTGACTAGTAGGTGTTCTTTTTTTTGCCTGTTTTTCATTGAAATATAGTTCACATGTGATAAACGTCACCGTTTTAAATTGTTCAATTCAGTGGGGCTTTAAAAATACATTTAAATATGTTGAATAAGCCTGCTCAGCCCTCACCACTGTCTTGTTCCAGAACGTTTTCATCACCCTCCAGATGTGTCCCATGTTAATCAAGCAGTCACCCCCCATTCTTTTCTGGCCCCAGCTTCTGGTAACCAAAAACGATTTTTGGACAGGCCAAAAATCCCATCATTTTGGGAGGCAGAGGCAAGAGGATTGCCTGAGCCCAGGGTTTTGAGACCAGCCTGGGCTATTTGGTGAGACCTCATCTCTGCAATAAATGAAAGTTAGCCAGCCATGGTGGCGTACGCCTGTAGTTCCATTTACTTGTAAGGCTGAGGCAGAAGGATGGCCCGAGCCCAGTAGGTCAAGGCTGCGGTGGTTGTGAGCATGCCACTGCGTTCTAGCCTGGGCAACAGAGTAAGATTCTGATTCACAAAACAGAAACAAAAAAATATGATTTTGTCCCTATGAGTTTACTTATTCTGGATATCTTTACAAATGGAGTTGTGTAATATGTGACTTTTTGTGACTGACTTCTTTCACTGAGCATAATGTTTTCGAGATTCATCCGTGTTGCACCTTTTTCGTGGCCAAATATTCTTCCATTATTTGGGTGCACCCATCTTGTGTATCCATTCGTCAGCTCATGGATGTTTCGGTTTTGTTTCCACGATGTGAATATTATAAAATGGTGTTGTCGCCGTTAATGGATAAAGTTTTGTTTGGACATCTGTTCTCTTGGATATATACTTAGGAGTGCAGTTGCTTGATCATATGAAAATGCTTTAACTTTCTGAGGAAACACCCACTTGCTTTCCAAAGCGACTGCACCATTTTGCACCCCATCAGCAATATTTCCACTTATCTGTGGCCCCGCCAACACTTGTTTAGCCTCCTCCTGGACAGTACAAGGCACTTAGAACACTTCGTGTCAGTCATCCCTTCCTGTATATATTTTTTTAGGCTCTTATTTCTGTTTTGATTTTTATCCTAAAAATTAGACATTATTTTTTACTGTTTTATATAGTCATCATCTCTGAGAATTGCCATACACATTTATCATTTCTGTTGCTTACTGTTCCTACTTGGATATCAGCCCATCCTTTTTAGGTTGTTTTCTTTCTTCCTGGAATCTGTCTCTTAGAAGACTTTTTAGCAAAGCTCTGTTGATAATAAGCTTCATTTTTAAAAAATAATAAACTCTTGGCTTGTGCTTGTTTGAAAAATGACTGCATTGCTTTTATCCTTGAAAGGTAGCTTTCCTGGATACAGAATTCTTAGCACTTTGAGCATCGTGACTTCCTTTGAAATTAGCTACTAATCTAACTGTTGTTCCTTGGTAGCTAATGCCTCTTTGTCTGCTCTTAAGATCTTCTCTGTGATTTTGGGGTGCTAATTCCGCTGTGATGTGTCTAGTGTGAACTTCTTTTTGCTATACTTGGGATATGTTGGGTACACACTAAGGAAGTGCTTGCTTCTGATGGTGTTGGTAGATCCCCCATCAATTTTCATGCTGTCTCTTCTCTAAAAACAATGTGATTACTCACATGGCTTGATTCTTCCTCTCGCTCACTCTTTCCATTGTTAAATTTTTTTCCTTCTCTTCCCTCTCCTTCTTCTGGAGAGGAGTGATGAATGTGAGTGCTGTTATTTAAAGAGCACAGGACTTAAATGCCCTGGTTTTGGATGGGCTTTACCATGTAAGACCTTGAGCGTGTCACAGTACCTCTTCTTTAAATGGGTACGATCGAGGGAAGATTAAGGTCTCTGTTAACTCTAGAAACTGCAATTCTGTGTTGACCTTCTTTATCTTGATTACAGTTTTCAGTATTTGTTCCCAATGCTAGTTAGTTTGCTGGTAATGAAAATTCCACCCCTTTTGTTTTTATTTTAGAAATATACCATAAGTATGGATTTTGTAAGAAGATTTGAACGGCAATGTGGATCACAGGCCAGTGTAAAAAGATTAAGAGCACATCCTGCCTATCATAGCTTCAATAATAAATGGAATTTACCTGTTTATTTTCAAATAAGGTTAGTAATATATCCATTCTCACCTCCACCCCTTTACAACCATTTGAATATCAGTTAAGGACTTTGCTTCCAATTAATAGCTGTCTCTTTCTCTGTGATCATTATATTCTCCTTTAGGAGACAAAATCAAAAGTAGAAATGCACAGGAAGTAGTGTGGTTGCTAAGACCTGACTTGCATGACCAAATACAAGTTTTATTTTTTCGTCATTGGAGGGCTCAGAACACTAGCCTTGGAATGAGCTGACTCCAAGCCCAGCCTCGTTCCCACACACTGTGTCCTCATTTGTTGTGAAGAGAGAGAGAGTAGGAGTTATATAGCAACTCTTTTTTCAATTCTCCCTGTTTCATTATCTGCCTCGAAGAATGGGCCTATCCCACATCTGTTGTTTTTCCTTGTCTGTAATACTTTTCCCCAGTGAGACTGGAGAGAAGTATAGCTTTATGTTTTCTTCAGAGCTGGTTCCATCTATCAGTTTATGAGAATCCTAGGTATTATTTCTGCTCCCCATACAAGCTTTGTGACATCTGTACTCTCTGTTCTGGAAAATGGTGACATTTTTCTTCCAGCTTTCATGATGATATCACCTATGTCCATAAGCAATTCTATAAAATACTTGGGGAAATTTAGGATAAACCCTTAACAACATGTGTTGCACTAGAAAAATAGATGATAATAGCCATTTTTGCAGATTCTCTTGAATGAGTTCATGGTAAGTTCTCCCATAGAATGGTATTAAATAGAGCATTTTTATTAAAATGCTCTTTGAAGAATCACAGGCTTTTCTGTTTAAGTTGCTGGATGCTTTTATTAATTACAATGCAGTCCTTTCCCCAGAGGTCTGAGGAATAATTACAGAAAGGGAAATATATCAAGAATTAGGTACCTTAATGATAATTGCTTGAGATGATTGGAAATGTATGCAATCATCTTTTGATAATGAAATCACAGTTCTCAGAATGAAGTAGTAGGGTGCCCTTTCACATATAATACTGTGTTTTATGTTTCATTTTCCAAGGTCACATCATTGTGTGGTTTGTCTTTCAGTAGGAAATTACCAGTAAGATTTATTCATCTAAGATGTTCATGGGCTGCTTTGGAGATGGTTGTTAATGACAGTCAGGATCGAGCCCGGGAAGGAAGCCTTTTTGATTCATGAGCAAGATTTAAAGTAGTGAATAAGACTGCTATAGAGAAGTAATATTTGAATCCCCACCCCACCCCCACCGTGTGTGTGTTTGTGTGTGTATTCCAACTTTGGCACCAGATTGCTTTGGTTACCTCAGGCTGTCACATCACAGACATACGCCCCTGCCTCCAGACTCCCGTCTCCTGGTCCTTTTCCTCGGACCCTGTGACCCACGCCCAGTCACCTCACTCCTGCTGCTGCATCCCCTGGAGTCCCCTTGCTGTCTCCTGCATCTGCTCTCATTCCAGTTTCCCTCCGGACGGTAACTGGGCCTTCAACTGTGGTGCAGCTCAGCCAGTCCCCTGACATACTTTTTTTTTTTTTTTTTTTTTAACCTTCACTAGATTTTAGCCTTAAGGATTCAGAGGGGTTAGTTAGCTTTTCTTTTAAATTGGTGTGTTTAAAATTTATTATTGGCCTGCATGGTGGCTCAAGCCTGTAATCCCAGCTCTTTGGGAGGCCAAGGTGAGGGGATTGCCTGAGCCCATGGGTTTGAGAACAGCTTGGGGAACTTGGTAAGACCTCATCTTTACAATAAATTAAAAAAAAAAAATTAACCAGGTGTGGTTGCACACACCTGTAGTTCCAGCTACTTAGAAGTCTGAGGCAAAAGGATCATCTGAGCCCAGCGGGACAACACTGGGGTGACTGTGAGTGTGCCACTGCCCCCCAGCCTGGGCAATGGAGTGAGACTCCAATTCAGAAAAAATTTATTATTCATTTTAACACATTTTTGTAAATTGTTTGATTCATCTTCAAGTCTTATTAAAAATTATGTTTGAGTTATGAAGTGTGGAACTTGTTTTTAGTACATTTGTTTTTCCATCTAAAAAAATAAATATAAGACTTTGTAGAACTTTTCTGTTGATTTTCATCAGTTGTTGGGTTGTTTACTCTGAGAGATGACAAAAAGTTCTGCAAACAAAGTTAGGTTCAGAGTTGCATTGTCATCAGATTCACTTCAGGATCATCTGAAGTAAACCTAAAGACAGCAGAGTGGTGATGTTTTCACATTTTTCTAAGAACTATTAGTGTTGTACTCTCAGCAACAGATTTCTGCTCTTTGGTCTGATTCTGTGCCCAATCATTGTCAGAAAAAAGAACTCCTATTTCAGCTGTGACCACCATTCTTGTGAACACATCTATATTCCTTCACTGTTCATGAGACTCCATGTGTTTACATTTCATTGCTCTTACAGGCGTATTGGAAAGTAGGTAGAGGACTTTGTTTCTCATAGGAAAAAAATAGATACAAATGTGACCAAGACAGCCTCAGATTATGAGGGGAAACCCCTAAAAACCCAGAAGTATCTTTTTAGAGGGCAGGCCCCTTGTAGTGTCGGTTTCCCATGGTAGGTCAATATTCTAGGAACCCATCAGCATCAGTGTACCAGCCAGTTGTTGTAAGAGGCTGCATTCAGCTTCGGTGGATTTTTTTTGGAGAGTCTTTCAACACGTTTGCCCATTTCTTGATGGGTGATTTATAAGTACACCTGTCCACGCCATGTTGAGTGTTCAAGAGTTTTTGACCAAAAACAGCATCTCTCACACACACACACACACACACACACACACACACACACACACACACACACACACACCCCTTGTGTGTCTCCCTGCACCCAATCTTGCCCTAAGCAACTTTCACTTTTTTTTGTTTCCCTGGATGAGAAAAGGCATCAAAATTGACATGTTCAAAAACTGTTTTGAGCAGTGGAAAAAGCATCTCAGTAGGTCTATTGCATCAAACGGAGAGTACTTTGAAGTACTTTGAAGGTGACTTTAAACATGTAAGAATACACACACAATATTTTATAGATAAATTCCAGGGTTTTTGGGTCTCCCCTCATATAGTGAATAAATCGTTCCCTGGGAACTACAGTCAGTGTTAGTCCTTTAAATGCCAAAGGGTAAGTTTTAGTTTGTTGTGTTTTTTTTTTCATTGAAATCTTTCTGTGTTCGCTTCAGGAACATTCACACACACGTACTGTGGTATTGTAGCCAGCAAATGCTGGACATGATAGAGTTCTTCCTTGTGATGTGGCATCTGCGTGGTGTTAGGGGGCAGGCAGCTCTTTGCTTTCCTTTCCCACTGCCCTCCTCAAATGTGCAGACGTGCCTCGCAGTGTTTCTCGCACTTCAGAGCAGAGAAAAAACAACACTCATCACTGTTGTATTGCCATTGTTTTTATGTAAGTACTTATACTTTTATCTTACTTGGACCTGTGATGTTCATGGAAGAATATGTCCGGAGACCTTTCCCAAGCCCAAGTAGAAGAATTTAGAAGCGTATGTATTTGGGGTGGCCTTTCTTGCAAGTACCCTGTTGAGCAGAATGACGTCCTGCATGTGTGTGAAAACCACAGCAGGGCTTCTCCAGTCCCACAAAGTACCTTCCTTCACGCGCTGCCGTTTCCCAGGCAGAAGTAGGACCTGCGACTTCACTCCTGGAAGCGAAGCCATGTGAGGGGCTGGCCCTGTGCTCGCCAAGTGACGTCGGCGGCTTGGACGTCAAGTGTCCTTGTGCCGGCTCACTGCTGGGCGGGACATCTGGGCGAAGTGCGCACACAGCAAGGCTCTGCTGTGTTTGTTCCGCGCGCCTTTTCGTTGGCGTGTCTTCCGGCATTGCCATAAACAGACACGCATCTTTGTATCTCGTTTCTTGGCCTAGTACTACATTATGCCTGTTTTTCCTCCTCACTTACGGCATCAGGCTTTCTGCTTGAATACTACATCCTGGTCCATTGAATGTACCACAAGTTTCCTTCCTTCTAGCCATGTAGGTTGCTTCCAGTTCTTCCCTGATAGAAACAGTGCTGTGCTGGCTCCCAGGCCTTTTCTGTGTTGGGGCTGACTACAGGTAGATACAGATGTAGATCTTTTTTTTTTTTGGAGTTGAGGTCTCACTCTGTCACCCAGACTGGAGTGCAGTGGCACGATCACACCTCATCACAGCCTTGACCTTACGGGCTCAGGAGATCCTTCTGCCTCAGCTTCCTGAGTAACTGGGACTACAGGCATGCACCATCATCCCAGGCTACTTCTCTTATTTTTGTGGAACTGAGGTCTTGCTATGTTGCCCAGGCTGGTCTTGAACTCCTGGGCTCAAGCAGTCTTCCCACCTTGGTCTGTTTTGTATAGATTTGGGGAAAAGGTGGAGCTGGGTGTCTGAAGTTGGGCCCTAGGTGCTGACTTCTCTCCCAGCCGCATGGCAGTTCCTTCTCTGCTCCCGGCATTGTGCTCAGTGTCACTGCTTCCTCCTGCTTCTGTTCCTGGGCTCATCTCCAGTGTTCTCGTGTCCTGCTCTTCTGTCACTTGTTCTGGGCCTCTACTGCAGCTTGGGAAGACTAGCCTTTGGTAAGTCTCACTAGGCAACTGGAGAGTCCCTTTGCTCCTGTGGAGCAGAACAGCTACCAGAAATCATCCAGCTATGATGGCCCAGGGTAGCATCAGCCTTTGCATCTTTGTACTCCATGCTGTGCAGGGGGCTGCTGCTAGGTGTCTGGAGTGCTGTTTCTTTTACTCTCCAGACAGTTGCCTCAGCACAGTCTCTGAACTGCTTTGAAAAGAGTGTGTGTACTATCCCAAAACCAAGATCACCAAGCTGGATAAGGTGATCAAAAGCATGCATCAGAAGTTATTGTTAGCAAGGGAACTAGCAGGTGATAAGAGTGCCGGTACAGAGAGTCATGAGAATGGAAGCATTAATAGTGAGAAACTGGATGCCAAGCAAGCAGCTAGTTAAAATATATACAAGTTACATTTCACAAAGTCAAAAAACCCATGTCTGTATCTGTTATTAGAAAAGAAGTCTGGCCGGGCTCGGTGGCTCAGCCTGTAATCCCGCGTCTTTGGGAGGCTGAGGTGAGTGGATTGCCTGAGCCCGCGGTTCATGACCCGCCTGGGCAACTTGGCGAGACCTCATCTCTACAGTAAATCAAAAAATCAGCTGAGCGAGGTAGCGCGCGCCTGTAGTTCCAGCTCCTTGGAAGGCTGAGGCGGAAGGATCGCCGGAGCCCAGCAGGTCGAGGCTACGGTGGCCGGGAGCGGCCACTGCACTCCAATCTGGACAACAGTGAGACTCCAACTCAAAAAAAAAGTCTGTGAAAGATGATCTGGGGTGCCAAGTGGGCCAGCCGTTAGTCATTAGGGGGGAAAGAACACATCTAGGAAGTGGTGGTGCAGATGTTGAGTGGCAGTGACCAAAGGGTGGCCCCATGAAAGCAGAGGGAGGGTCAGTGGACACTAGTCAAGCATAGAGTGCCACATTCTAGCTCACCAACCACTTTCAGTGATAGTGTTATACAGACAGGAGAAACCAGAGCTTACAGCCTTGAAGTGAGTTGATGTTTGTATCCAGGTGGCATTCATGAGGAACAACTTGATGGACACTTAGCTGGCATTTTGTTTAATTTGAGAAACATGGGGTTAGTTATGATTCAGACCAGCTGCAAATAACAGAGAACCCTTATGTAACAGTGGCTTAGTCATGATTTCTTATTCAGTTAAAAAAAAAAGTCTGGGGAATAGGCATTCCAGAGCTGGACTTATCAGTGAGTGTGGAGGAAGTTCCTGTTACTTAGGAAGAAGGAAGAATGGATGGAGAAAAGCACCTGGCAGATCGTGTGTAAACACTAATTTGTTCTTGTTTTTTATCTCAGATTTAGAGAAATAGCGGGATCCCTAGAAGCAGCCCTTATAGATGTCCTGGAAGATGCCCCAGGTAACTTCCTTAAAGTGATAAATGACACAAGGTCACTAAATGAGTTAACTGAGCCCACCATATCATCTAGATCTTAATACCCCAAGTCTACTTTCACCTCTTTCTGTCATACAGTAAGTTGGATCCAAAGCCACTTCTTTTTTTATAAGGTTAAAAGCAAAAACAAATATTTGTGACTTGTAGAGCTTACTGCTTTGTAGAGATGATGCTTAGGATGCTTTAAGAATATAGGAAATAGACCTTACTTTCCTTCCTGCAAAGGGAGTATCAAGGGGATGTAGCCCTTGGTGTGCTTAAGTGATCAGCTGTTTTTTTATTGCAAACCGGCTTTGATCAATGCCTTCCTCCCAGGCTTAGGACTGGTCTGCATGCTAAAGGGCCAGGCTGCTCATGCCTCTCACTGAGAGTGACTCACGGCTGGAGCATGCACCCGGGCCCGAGGCCCCTGGGACCTCACGTTTGCATACCCTGGTAGGCTCACTGATTTCGTGTCGTGATGTGTTCGTTTCTAGTGACCACTGAAGTACTGTGTGGCTGTTTCCATCGCCACATAGTTTCTAGGTTCCTTGACTGAAATTTCTGCTTTCTTAAGCAGCTAAGTCCACTGTCAGTCTAAACCAACTTTAACTTCAGAGTTAGTTTTCATCTGTCTTTGCCAAAAATAGTTTTATATAATTGACTCCCTGTGTATAATTATATTGAGGTAGAAGAAGACAAAAGTAGACAAATGAAATAGGAAAAATTTGAAACCTAAACTATAAATAAGCCCTCGCGGGTGACTACCACTGCAGCTCGTGTTTGTTGATTTGATATAAAACTCCTACGAAAAAGCTGTTTCTGAATGCTGTGTATGCTTGACATTTGTCCTCGTGCCTGGAAGGTGGTATCGTGTAAAGTCAGAAAAGGCTTGGCATGGTGGATATTGTAGGGAACATGGATTGTGACCATGTTGTGCCTCCACTAGCAGCTTTGGAAATTGAACATCTAACCTTAGATTGTAGCCCATAATTGAAGTTCCTTAAAAACTTGTTTTTTTTCTCCAGCTGAAAGTCCATATTGCCTTCTGGCTTCTCATAGAACATGGAGCAGCCTTCAGAGGTGTTGGTCAGATGAGATGTTTCTGCCGTTGCTGGTGCACCGTCTGTGGAGACTCACTCTGCAAGTTTTGGCTCGATACTCTGTGTTTGTCCATGAGGTAGGGGCTGGCAGTGTAGCCCAGCAATAATCAATACTGATAGAATTTAAGATACATTAACCAAGTACTCAAATGAGAGTTTTTAACCCTTTGCACTTGGAGACATCTCTCAGATCACCTATCAGCAACTCAACCACACTTTTTTACAAAATAGTGAAAAGCTTTATGATCATTGAAATTAAAAGGTAGTAAAATTAATCTTTCCTTTTTAGAGTATTCTACTGTTTGCTTCTTCAGATGATCAGATATACTGAATATCCACATGCCCCTGACTCTTGATTAATCTTGTCCATAAAGCCAGAAATTCTTGATTCATAGGAGCATTGGTGCAGTTGAGCACTGAACACCAGCCCTGCTGGGGCTACTGTCTCTAGCACTGCCTTGCCTCTGGGGACAGTCTGCGTGACAGACACTCAAGTAAACTAGCCATCACAGTGTGAGGAGTGTGAAAGAGAAATGCGTTCTTAAAAAAAGGAGACAACATACAACATGAAGGCAGCACAGGCTGGAAGGAGTGAAACCTTGGTTATCGGGAATAGGAGAGGCGCCCGGTCATTCTCTTGCAGTGTGGCTTTGGGGTCGGACAGAATCGAGCCGCAGCTCTTCCTCTTCAACTCTGAGAACTGGAGAAGTTAAGCTCTCTGAGTCTCAGATTCTTTTTTTGTTTGCTGCTTTCATTCTTTTTTACAAAATGTTATTTATCCTGACAATTTTATTTTTTTAAATTTTAAAATTATTTTTATTTTAAAGGTGTGGGGTACAATTCAGGGTTCGCAATACCAATGTTCATTGTGCAGGTGCCCTTGTTGATGAGGTGTGCCCCCTCCTCCCTTCCCCAAGCAGATTCCCACGACTGTCAGTACTGCCTCCTGCACCCCTGTAGTTTCCTGCTACTGCCAATCCCTTTCTTACAATAATACGATTGTTGTTCAAGGTCCGCTGATGAGTAAGAACATGTGATACTTAGTTCTTTGTTTCTGTGAAAGATCACTCAGTATTATAGTGAGTCTCAGATTCTTTATCTAGAAAATGAGAAAACGTCTTCTGTACATGACTGTGGTAAGGATTTATGGGTGGACCAACATACCTGGCAGATACTAGGATTTCAGTGGAAGTTAGTTTCTCTTTCTCTTCTACCCTCTCTTTGCTCAGAAGGGTCTTGGTAGAGTACCCTGATCCATCAGCCATTTCTGAAGTCCGCTGTGTGATTCCCAGGACAGAGTGGGCTAAGTCCACTTCTTCAGATAGGCCTGTGCCTGCCAAGTCAGGCTGTCTTGCTACCCAGCAATTCCTGTCACGTTATCTCTAGTGAATCACTTTGCCTTCATTGTCCCGTTCTTTTCTGGATGCTTGTGGGCTTCTCTGGTTTTGCCCATATAAACAATATAGTATGTTGTTTGTATTATTATTCTTTGAAATCTAAATGAGGTTTAGATTTTCATTTTTTAACCCTAATTAATTATAATTATAAATTTATTAAGCAAATTTGGTGTGTTATTTACCTAACATAGTTAAATGATTTTTTAAACGTGTGATATTCCAGAAATTAATTTTATTGTGGTTTAGGGACTTAATTATTATTTATTTTTTGCTTGCCAGTTTTTATCACCAGAAATTAGACATGAATTCAAGAAGGCTAAATGTACCTGAGGCTGGTTATAGTCTCTCCTTATTTCTGTCTTCACACCTTCCTGGTGTACTTTTATGAGTCAAGTTTTACTGAATACTTTGTAGACAGCTGGCATTTTATGGTGAGTTGTTGATGCACACAGTATATGTAAACGCTCGTGTATCTTGCTAATGTGAAAGTATTTATTAGGGAAATCTTTTCTCAGCTTTCACTCAGGCCCATTTCTAATGAAAGTGCCAAGGAGATCAAAAAACCTTTGGTAACTGGGAGCAAAGAACCTTCTGTTACCCAAGGAAACCCTGACGACCAGGGAAGTGGTCTTTCAGAAGCGAAGCCTGTGGCTTCCATTTCCAGCACTCAGCTGGTGCATGCGGTTGCAGACCTGGACAGGCTTCAGGAGCAGGTAAGCCTGTGACCCAGAGGAGCTCTAGGCACTTAGTTTCATGTTTCCACGGGAGGTAGCCTGCAAAAGGCAGACACCCTTTGGCCTTAGCATTGCGGGCCCTAGGGCTACCCCAGGAGAGAGTGTCTTGTTCATCTGCTGGTCTAGGTGCTTCTCCAGCTGTCCCTGACAGATCACCTCCACATACGGTTTCTGAGAAGGTGCTCTTCTGCCTCTTGCTCGTGAGCACGCTTGAGCGCTGTGGTCCCCTCAAGCCTGCTTTCTCTCCCGTGGTGATGGGAGCACTCTCGGAGCAAAGCCATGCTCTACTCTTTCTTTAACAAATAAGGTCAACTTACTCTGCTCAGGCATGCTCTTAAGGGGCTGGATTTCAGTTATTTTAAATTTACCCAAACATTTTCTGTTAATATTTTATCTTCAGCTGTGCTTTGAAAGTACTAAAGTATTAAAGCATCTTCCTCAGTTTTCTCTGCATAAGTCCCATATATTTTTGCTTTTAACATTAGGAGAACTTTGTGGGGTGAATTTAGTGGTTAATTCTTCTGGTACACAACCCTGCTTTCTTCTAGTTTAAATATTTTGTGGTGCTTGAATAACTACTGTTTTGAATACAAACAGTTGTATGTTTTGAGCAATAATTTGGTTTTAACTGGGGGCTACTTTTTGTCTTACGGAGAGCCACAGGATAGGAATGTTTTTGCTTATTCTTTGTGCCTGTTAGTAGCCATTAAACCATGTGGTTTTCCATGTGGCTGAAATCCTTTATAGTCAAAGCGTTAAGACTGCTGCTTTCCTGTGATGAAAATGACTGGAAGTCTTGATTTTAGTTTCACCATTCATTATTCACACAGCATTATTCTAGAGTTTGTAGGTGCAAATAGAATTGTCTCTTTGGTTTATAAAAAATAACTGACTGTATAAAGTGCATATTTATTTCAGCTTCCAGAACTCTTGGAAACAATCAAGCCAAAACTTGAAATGATTGGCTTTAAGAATTTTTCTTCTATCTCAGGTAAAAATGAATCTTTAGATTCAGCAGATCTTTGAATAAGAAATAATTTTAAATAAAATTTCAGAGACTGTAGGATATATTTACATTAACATTTTTTTCCTCTAGTTGTGAATCCTTGGTTGTTTCTGTATTCTGTTCTGTGATTATAACTTTTCCAAATACGATCTATTGCTTAATTCTGTTAATTTGATTTAATTTGTTATACTACATGAAGTTTACATATGGGCCTGAGTAGAATGATTAAATCCAGCCTTTATATCACAACAGCAGCCATGGAGGACTCCCAGAGTTCCTTGTCAGCCTGTGTGCCTCCCTTGAGTAGCAAGATCATCCAAGATTTGAGTGAGTCTTGCTTCAGTTACCTGAAAAATGCCCTGGAGGTTCCCAGGCTGTACCGGAGAACCAATAAGGTCAGCGCCATTCATTGAGAAGAATTTTGAGGTGGGGAAATCCAAGGACAGAGGGAGGGAATGATAGGTTCACAGGGAAGCCTGAGATAGACCGAATCCATCCCCTTCTGAGAACCATACTTGTGAAGAGAGGGAGGTTCTGCAGGGGGCAGTCGGGTTCTCTGGGCTTCATAGGGTGGACGGTTCTGAAGTCTTTTGGTCGTAAGAAAAGATACTTTTTTCGAAAGAAAGCATTTCAATATATTTTTAAGCCCTGTACTCCTTTGCCTTCATATTTTCTGTTCCAAACTTCATATCTTGTTTCATATTGTCATTGGAAGTACAGTTGGCCCCCTCTATCCTGGGTTCCACATTCCTAGGTTCAACCAACCACAAATAGTAAATATTCAGGAAAAAAAAATAGCGGTACAACAATAAAAAAATACAGATTTAAAAAATATAGTATAATAACTATTTACATAGCATTTACTTTGTATTAGTGTTATGAGTAACCCAAAGATGATTTAAAGTACACAGAGGCTGTGTGTGGGTTGTCTGCAAAGACCATATCAGTATTTGCTCTTTAGGGCCTGACTTGAAGCTCCTACTTGGAAGTGAGGGCGAGAGGGAGAAAGAGAGAGAGAGAGAATCCAAATACGTTATTTTTCTTTAGAAATTTACTAACTTTGCCTTTCTATTCAGTAGGCTGTTATAGTGTGACATTTATTGAGAGTTTGTGTTGTGGGTAAGATACCATGCTGGACACTTTACATACAATCTCATACTCCTCCTGTGAAGAGGGTGCTAGTATTCTTATGTACAGACAAAGAAACCAGAGCTAAGGAAAACTAAATTGCTGACCCTGGATCTTTGCTTCTCTGATGTGGTCTATGGGCCAGCGTGGGTGGGAGTTCATTAAAAGGGCACGGTCTTAGAACCCATACCCACCCCTCCGCACCCCCTGGCAGAATTAGAGCTTTGCTTACTGAGGTTGCCAGGTGATTCGTATTGGCATGACACTGCAGGGAGCAGTGCCCTAGGTGCCTGAGCTGTGTGAGTGGCTGGACCAGCTTTCAGCTCCGGCTTGGCTGCAGATGCCATCTCTGGTTCCTCTTGGCTCCCTTGAGTTCTCCAGGCAGCTTTCTGTAGACATCGTGTTACTTTTTGGGGAGGGATGGAAGTTGTATGTGTCTCAGAACTCAAATGTTAGTAGTATCTTTTTGAACTTGAGGTCTCTTTTCTGGTTTTTTCCTGTGCACCTTTTACCCGTACCAACATTGTTCCAGGAGGTCCCAACAACGGCTTCCTCTTATGTGGACAGTGCTCTGAAGCCATTTTACCAGCTTCAGAGTGGACACAAGGACAAGCTCAAACAAGCAATAATTCAGCAGTGGCTGGAAGCAGCTCTTTCTGAGAGCACTCATAAGTAAGTGAATTGAAAGCAAACCACATGGGCCTTGCCTGGAAGAGGCTCAGACAGAAATCCATGAGGCCATCATGGGGCTGCACGTAGACAAGGCATTGAGAACATCTAACACAGTGTCACTGGAAAGGTCAGAGGATGGTCACGTGGTGCCCTGATGGCCCTGTGGGCTGGCTTCCTCCCTTGGGCGGCAGACATGATGGCATGTCCACAGTGCCCCGTGTCTCCTGCCCTGTCCGCCTTCGCTGTCCATAAAGCCTCCTCACACAGGCACCATCTCCCAAGTGCAAGCGTGCTCTGCTTGGAAGTTCTTTCTCTGCTCAGCCTTTGCCAGTCCAGATGGCTCTAATCGTGCCAGATAATCAAAGGACACTGGTGAAACCCTTGTAATCAAGGAAGAGAGAATGTATATTTTAAAGGGTAATTACAGCTCTCAAATAATTTATTTCTAAAACCCTTGAGTGCCTCTTTATTTCTGATTAAATCTGCTTTTCCTCAAATGCTAGCAATTGCTTTACATCAAAAAGTATATTGTTTTATTAGTGATTGTGTTTAATTATTAACAATTATTAATTTTGCAGTAATATTTCATTTACTTAATAGTTAAGTAGCCATTGTGAGTTAATTTAGAACACAGCAGTGATGAATAATACTGCTTCTGTGGGCAAAAGTATTCCAAATATCAAATAACCACCTTGTATACAAAGTTTGAAATATAGCTCATTAATAATTAGAAAATTATATTGAGAATATTTTGAAGGCAATGAGTTTTGTTTAAAATTCTGAAATACTTTTATACTTTATTTGTATGTATTTATTTTTGAGTCGGAGTCTCATCCTGTCACCCGGGCTGGAGTACCTTGGCATGATCATGACTCACCACAGCCTCATCCTCCCAGGCCGAGGCAGTCCTTCCAAATAGCCGGGACTGCAGGGTACGCCACTACACCTAGCTAGTTTTGGGGACTTTTGTAGAAACGAGGTCTTGCTGTATTGCTCAGGCTGGTCTTGAACTCCTGGGCTCAAGCAATCCTCCCACCTCAGCCTCCCAAAATGCTGGTATTACAGGTGTGAGCCACAGTGTCCAGCTACCTTTGTACTTTAAAATATGAACTGTTCCTCAAACTGATTGCAAATGAATATGTGACTCGCTTTGGGGATGATGAAGATTTTCACCCTCAATATATGAAAAATGGGTTGGCCTGTGATTTTTTTAGTGTTCAGGATTAAACTTTTAAACAGAATTTATGCATATGTTTTTTAGGCTCTGAGGAAATGCCATACTAGAGACTTAAGATCCTGTTTATCTTATGATCTTAAGAAAAACATTTATTATTTACCATGACTGAATTTTTGTTGGCATGAATTTTTATTTTATAAATTTCTTTTGGGGTCCACAATGTCAGTCACTCTATTTGGTGTTACAAATATCTCTGTTTCACCAATAAACGTGTCTTGTGCTCCAGATACTACGAAACTGTGTCAGACGTGCTGAACTCTGTGAAGAAAATGGAGGAGAGCCTGAAAAGGCTGAAGCAAGCCAGGAAAACCACTTCTGCCAACCCTGTGGGTCCCAGTGGCGGCATGAGTGACGACGACAAAATCAGGTTGCAGTTGGCCTTAGACGTTGAGTACTTAGGAGAGCAGGTAACCCACCAGCTGCCAGCACGTTCCAGTGAGTCTGGGCCAAATTCTGAGGGTCCAGCAGTGATCTGGCGGTTTGTGTGAGCACAGAGATGCTGTTGCAGTGGCTGGGAGTCAGTTTCCCAGGTTTTAGGAGTAAGAGTTGGGGCCCCAAATGACTCTGAAGGTGAAGAATTTGCACGTCCAAGTTGTGAGAGAGAAAACAGAGAGTGTTAAGAATTCCCTGCGGAGTGCCCGTGGGTGCTGTTACCTTCTGCTTGGTTCCCCAGTGGCTTGTGCCCATGGAGCCTGCTGCCTTGTGGGCTCCCAACAGACAGAGCAGGTCCTTTTGGTCCGCTGTCTGGAGAGCACCTGGTACGTACTTGGTGCCCAACCCAAGTCTTTGAAATACTTGCCAGCCTGGCGTAGAAGAGCTGTGAAAGCATTACCTTCCTGTGGTACATGAGAACTTCTGTGCTTCCCTGCCTGGTTTTGTAGGTGTTCATGAAACACAGATTTTAGAATCCTGACACATGACTGAACATTAATGGATATATTATCACTTGGGAGGTGCTGTGGATAACGTAATTAATGCCTTATCACTCACTGAGATGATGTCTTCATGGTATCATGAAACTTCTAGATGTTCAGAAACTGACCTCTAAACTGTGGGGTTTCCCATATAGTAGTAGATCCTCAAGGAAGACCATGGCAGAGAAACTGTTAAATTTTCGTCAGAAGACACTTGGTTTTCTAGCTCATTCGGGAATTTTTTTTTTTTTTTTTGAGTTGGAGTCTCACTGTCGCCCAGACTGGGAGTG